GATCTCGCCGACTTTGTCTATATAAAACGGCATTTGCAGCGAATAAGGACGGGTGCGAACGGGCCAGGCATATGCTGGCGATGTGGCAACAAGTGGGTGTGGGTGTGGGTGTGGGTGTGGGTGGGTGTGCTGGTGTGCTGGTGTGCTGGGTGTTGGGGAAAACGTTCTCAGGTGAAACATAAACTTGTGCTCCCCCCACACACACACACACACACACACTCTTGTACGTGTGCTCCATATCCCCTGGCCAGGGATCTCCAACTGGCCAGAGCGAGAAGGCAGGCCGGAGCGACCCCTCCCCTCCATATACATCAGCAGTATATAGCACATAGTATATGGCCAGAGATCATAAGTAAATAGGCGCACATTTGTTTTTGGAATCAAATATCGTAGAACATAAATTTCACAGCCATTAAAGAATCGAGCTGCATATATCTGGACCATGTACATGGGGCCAAAAGAAAATATATATCTCGGTATTCTCGATATAACGGCCCACCGGATGGATAGTTGCAGTAGTTTGAACCCCAGAGTGCACGCCCCACAACTCTACCATATGTATAAACATATACATATTGGATATACATATATACTATACGTATTCATTCTATAGATCGGAGGTTCGTGTGCTGACGTCGAACGGCCTTTGGTGCCCCATCGCATTGCCATTTGTCTAACACTTGAATCTATTCGTCACTGGTCTGATTTTCTTTTTTTATTCTCTTCTCTTCTTGTTGTTATTTTCCCATTTTCCATTGTAGTGAAAACTTTCGCCAAATACTTTTATTGTATATATGTACATACATATGTATATGCAGGCAGGCACCCTGTGTCACCTTTCTCTGCCTGTCGATTTTGATTTGTATTCAAATATAATTACAAAAAAAAAGCAGTTATATTGTTTAAGAAATTTTTAGAAATATATTTTCTGGGCTAATTAAGAAGGAAACTGGCGTTGGAACTGGGTTCTAGATAAATAATATATTTTTATTTAATGTGAATTACATTTTGGAAGTTGAAATTTGTAAAAGAATCTAGCTTAAACCTGTTGATAATTAAACTGAGTGTCTGGTCACTGAAAATTAACCATTTTATTTTTATTTTAATTCAATTAAAGCCACTTTAAACTTCTTATATTATTCTGGATATGTTTAGTTAAAACCTAAAGCATTTGTAAAAATTCCATTAAAATTTATGTAACAGAAAATTAAAATCTAATCAATGTTAAAATTCCCCTTAAAAGTTTCGGTTTTTAAGAATCTTAAAAGATTTTTATTTATTAAACATTGTTTTTAAATTTGTTTGTACTTTTTTAGAAATAGTTTTTACAGTTCTCTAGAGTTTTGCTCACTTGAAGGGCTTTTGAAATAATTTTCTCAATTAGATAATATATGTAGATACTTTTCTGGTTTCTTAATTTTTTGCATTTATTTAAGCCACTTCTTATACATACATATATTATATAGTAGCAGACTTTTAAAATTACCATCTAGTTGGAAAGTTTCGCATTTGTTTTGATTTCGTTTTGGGCTCTTAAATTTAGAACATTTTTGTATCTGCACCGATGCAAATACATATATATTCCGAGGGAAATGTGTGTCTTCGGCTGTATCCGTTGGATACGGGTAGTCCGGTGCGGTCTGGCTATTACGGATTGCTTGCCAAGATTGCAGCAGATTGCAGCAAAGGTGGGGCGGTGGGGCTCAGGTGGGCAGGAGCTGATCCCGGATCCCGGTTCACATCAACCACTTTGAACTAATGGCACACATCGGACCCGGCCGTGGGTGTATGTACATCCATTTAGAATCTCTGGGTATTCCTTCAACTAAATATCAATTCGCATCATCTTCGGAATCAGGGAATAACAAATAGCACAGTTTCGGATTTTTGTTGTTCTATTTTTGGGCGATTTGTGTGGGCGCCTTCGTCTGTAGCCTTCGGTTTTTAGTGCCGATCGCATCCACGAAGTCCGCCACCGATATAAATATATACATATATATTAAAGTATGCGCATATATATGTACGTATTTGTTTAAATATCTTCTATGTGTGTCTATCTATAGGTTAGCTTTCTGGGGCGGCGATGTTTACGGGCAACTGTCGGTGTCGGTAATAATCTTCATAGCCCGGGAGGATAACATAAACAATATCCCCGAGGAGCTGGACATCTGGAGAAATATTTTATTTCATCTGAATTGGCATCTTGATGCCAGTCTTGAAATGAATAATCGAAAACTGACTAGAAAAGGCTTATTGAATAGCATCTGTGTTAAGGTGGTCTGTGCACCATGCATCGTTTTGTGTCCTTTGTAAAAAATTTTTTAGCTAATTATAAGAAGTTTTTTAAAAGAAGTCGAATAAGATTTTTGGTATATTTTTTATGAGTCCAATCAGAAGCCTGCAAAGCAGTCATTTCCAACCCCATAAATCATATATGAATATTATTGATCAACATGAAAAGCCGAATGGTTTTAGCCATTTTTAGAGGAAACAATTTGTTGTATTTTTTTTTAAATTTTGATCGTTCAAATTTTAAAAAATTGGCATAACATGAAATTGAAAAAACCATTGAGCTTATTTTTTTATTTATTTATTTATTTTTATTTATTAACCGTATAAAAACTATGCCGAATTGAATTTAATGCATTTTTAGATTAGTTATAAATTTTGTAAGTTTTGTTTATTTCAAAAAATTATTTAAAATTGTAAGTACATATTTAAATAAAATTGGGTAAGGAGTTTTATTAACCTTATAAAACTTAACCCAGAATTGAAATTAATGCATTTTTGGTTTAGCTATGAATTTTGAAAATTTTGTTTTATTCCCAAAAATGATACAAAAAAAATGTTACAATTTTTCCAAATTTTTTTAAGGGGATACATCGTTACAATTTTTAAAAATTGGCAAAAAAATAAATTTAAAAAAAAAACACAAAAACGCTTTCAGAATTAAATTTATCCTTATCCTAATTATATATTTTTTTAAGCTTTGATTTCCCCATTTTGGCCTTAATTTACCTCGAAAAAATTTACATTTAAAATCAATTATTTAGTATTGTTAAATATACTCATATAGATAGATTTAGGCGAGACTGTTCCATAAGATCTTAATGAATAAGGTTGAATCAGCCAGGCAAACATTTTTTGTAAAGAACAAACAACTCGGGGTGTGCCAATTTTAGATTCTATATGTTCGATGTTCGATTTAAAAATAAGCAAGTAAGCAAACCAAATTAAATGAAATGAAAGCGAACCAAAAAAAAATAAAATAATAACCAGAAGAAAAAAGAAACAACGGAAAAATCCATAGAAAAAGCCACATAGAAGAAACTCGGAGGAAAGATCTGAAAATGTGAAAACGTTTAAGAAAGCCATCATCATCATACAGAGGCTGTTTATATAGCATTTATGCTGTGTCTACTTTATGTATAGTGTTACACGTTTATTTTCAGAAGTTGTTTTTCTCCTGTTGACGTTTTTGAATTTATTTTCCTAATTGCAGTCTTATTTCGAAATTTGTGGGTATATTTTATTGGTTAATCTTTATGTGATTCGATCTTTGTATATTGGAATATTACTAATATAATATTAAGGTTGTTAATATTATAGAAAATATATCTTTTTTGTTAAATGCAAAGTCCAAATTGTAAATATTTACACATTGGCAAGTTTCTGAATACCCTTTTGGGGTATTATAAGGGTAGTCATTTACGGCTCTATAGACTATAAAAATAAACATTCTGCATTTTAATTGTTTAAAAAAAAAACATACTGAATTATTTATTTATTAATTTATCTAAAGCTAACAAATAGTTATAAACTAAGAGCTAACTAAAGAGCCATAGGCATACTGAATTATTAATAATGGTTAACGATAAAATTGACAAAATTCTAATTTGATGCTGATATTCTTGATAAAAAAATGTTTATTTTTATATTTCTGGACTTCTTGAAGGCTTAACTTGGCCAAAAAGCAAAAATCGTTATTAATTATTAATAAAATAATGTCTATAAATCTAAATAAAAATATAAATAAAATAATAAATAATAATAAAATATAAATTTCTATAAATATAAATATATTATTTAAAGTGGGAGGTTTTTATTTTTTGTATTTTATTTATTATACATATTTCTATATATATTATATTCTTTTATTTATTTATTTCTATATTTATTTATTTATTTATTTACCTAAACGATAAGTCAAACTCTATTGACTCAATCGGTTTTGGAATTTGGCACACAGATAATTAAGTGGGTTTTTTTAATTTTTTTTATTTTGTTCCGTGTACTCCCTTGACATCTGAATGACTGAATTTTATACATATTGTACTTTTTTAAATATTTATAACATATTTATATCCTTTTTATATTTTAATTTTAGCAAAGTAACTTATTTTTTGTCAAAAATTTGGGTTTTGACCACTGATTTTGATAAAAAAAAAAATATATAACAAAAAATTTAAAAAACGCCACATAAATACCTTCTTTAACTAATGCATTATATTTTTAAGATATCGCAGGATTCTAGTGACAGATAGGATGTAGATAATAAACCAACCGTTTTGTGAAGGTGACTCGGGAGATTCCCTATAACTACTATAACTGTTAATATATTTTAACAATAAATTTCAAGCAAATTGTTTAAATGTTTTGTTTTTATATTATATTTAATTTATTAAGCTATCTTTGGCCAGTTCTCCAAAAGAAATTTTTGAATAGATATAGTTGATAAATACTTTAGTGCCAGTGTTTTTTGGTCACACTGCTAACCGGCATTTATGAAGAATATTAAAAAGGTTTGTTTATTTTATTTTTAATGTAAATATATTTATTTAAACAAATAAAACGAAATTAATACTCAATTTGTAAATATTGTTAGAAAAATTAATGGATTTAAATAAAAAGTAGACCGTTATTCTTTCAGCCGAGTTGTTCTAGTATGTTTCTGGTGTTTTTAGGATTATTCTACCTGGCACTTGGTCACACCCCTAACCCACACACACACACACACGCACACACACAGCCAGTTGGGCCGCAGAACAAATTGAATTCTTTTAATTTTGCCCAGTTATTGATAACTCCCATCGAGTGTGAATAATATGAACTGTAGCCGTGGACGGGGCTAATCGATTGACACATTCTCGTCCGGATCGCAGCAACCGCAGCACTTAGCTTCCGTCGCACGCCGGGAAAGTGCCACGAGACGGGGAGACGTGAGACGTGAGAGAGAGAGATTGGGAAAATTAGGCGAAAAACCTGCAAATCGGGGGAAATGCGCTCCACCGGCGGGGATGTTAAATCAATACTGGTAGTGGCCGTGATGGTAGCGCTCCTGGCCGCTCCACTGGCAGTGCTGGCGCGGAAGCACCACCTGGAAGTGCGCGTAAGTACAGTTCTTCCTTCCCTTCTGCTCTTGTGCCCCGGAGCACCTGACTCACACGTCTAACTGCAGAATGACAGGCGTCCGTACATCGCACTTAGCACCTTCGGGTTCTACACCAACGGTCACCTGGACGTGCAGCTCAGCAAGCTGACAATCGATGAGGAGCAGCCCACGGATTTGGTAAGGGAAACCTGCCTCAAACCTGAAGCCGCTCTAACTGTGTGTGCCCTCTTCCCCAGTTGGGCCTGTCGCTGGACAAGACCACCATTGACCAGCTGAATCCGTATCTGGACTCGCACCAGACCAAGTGCATTCTGGAGGAGCCGCCCAAGCTGCAGACCAGTGGACCCATACTCTTCTTCGTCCTGGATCTCAAGGAGTTGAAGTATGTCAGCCTTGCCTCCAACCCTAAACCCGCTCATTTTCCGCCTTCTCTCCTCCAGAGTCCTGGTGAAATGCTCGCCGGAATGGACCAACATGCACATCTACAAGGACATCACCGCCCGGACCAAGCGAAACTCTCGCCTAGAAAAGGTCAGTGATTCGGTGCTGTTCCGTCAGGCGCGTGAGGCTCCGCCGCCGCCGCCCTACTTGGGCGAAGATCCCGATGACTCCATGGAGGATCCCCCAGAGCAGGAGCCGCCGGCTGACCTCAAGCTATCCTCGCCAGCGGTGGCTGGTAAAATAGAGTTGCCCAAGGAGGAGGTTGTGGCCCAAAAAGAGGATTCTGCTGTCAAGAAGCCGCCTTCAGAAGTTCCTGGCCCGCCACAAGCCGCCGCTGCTGGCCAGGAAACGGATGTCGTCAAGCAGGATGCTGGCGTTAAAGCTGAAGTTGCACCCAAACCAGCGGAACCCGTCGTCAAGGTCACGCCCGAAAGTAAACCGGCAGAGCCTTTGGCCAAAAAGGAGGACTCAAAAATAGCCAAGCCAACTAAGGAGGAAGCCATAGAAGCAACCAAGGTGGCAGCACCGCCACCTGCTGGTGCTCCTGTTTCTGTTTCCGCCGCCGCCGCTGCCGCCAAGAAAGACGAGGAGGAGGACTCTGATGCTGCCCCCGATCAAGCCGTGAATAACTTTTTGCCCCACGAATCGGATGCAGAAGATGATTTATACGCAGTCAGCTCGTTCAAGCAATCGCAGGAGGATCTGTGCAAGGACTCAACAATGCCGCTGGTCAAGGAAACGGATGCCAATGGGGTCAATTACTACAGCTTCAACTTCTCCATGCTGGTGGCCACGCTGCGTGACGAGGGCCTCTACAATCTGTACTTCCATGCCTGCCCCAACTACCATAGCCACAGCAAGGTTATGTCCTTTAATGTGAGTAGACGGGCCACAAGGAGGGGGGTTTTGAAAAGGGCTTAAAGTGTTTCACGATCTGGTGGGTCATACAAGAAATACTTTAACCTCCAAAAGTTCCTTGAGTTATTATTTTGTAAAATTTGAAGGGTTTATGCCCACCAGCTTTCTTTGCTTTCTCTATCTCGCTTTTATTCAAATTGAATTCAGAGGTGGTTGGACGCTAACTTGCAGTACTTTGAAGAACCTATAAAATGATCCTTTAGATTATATATTCTTTGTAAACTGTTGATCATCATTGGGCAAAAACCCTTTTTTCTTAGCTGCAACTCTACTTTTCCTTTTACTGATACCATTGCATACCCTCTCTTTCAGGTGGACATTGAGGAGAACAACAATGGCAATTACCTGTCCGCTGGCGAAATGCCCCTGCCCGCCTTGTATTTCATGATGAGCCTGCTCTTTTTCCTCTCCGGTCTCTTTTGGGTGTTTATCCTGAAGAAGAGCAAGTGGGTTTAGCATTCCTCCCACCTCCATTTTTGTCTCTCTTACTATTTATTTGATTTTCTCTCCCACAACACAGGCACACCGTTTACAAAATCCATTACCTGATGGCCGTGCTGGTGTTCCTCAAGTCCCTCTCCCTGATGTTCCACTCGATCAACTACCATTTCATTGAGAAGCGGGGCGAGCATGTGGAGACCTGGGCCATTCTCTACTACATTGCTCACCTGCTCAAGGGCGCTGTGCTGTTCATCACCATTGTGCTGATTGGCACCGGCTGGACGTTCATCAAGCATATACTCTCTGACAAGGATAAAAAGATCTTTATGATTGTCATTCCCCTGCAGGTGGGTTCTATCTACCAAGATGTATATCCCTTAATCTTACCTTAATTCACAATCTCTCATTTTTCAGGTGCTGGCTAATGTGGCTCAAATCATTACCGACGAATCGGACCAGAGCGACGCCGAGTTCCGCACCTGGCACAACATCTTCTTTTTCGTAGACCTGCTGTGCTGCGGCGCCATCCTGTTCCCGATTGTTTGGTCCATACGGCATCTCCACGAGGCATCCGCTTCGGACGGCAAGGCGGCCATCAATCTGCGCAAGCTCAAGCTCTTCCGCCAGTTCTACATCATGATCGTGTGCTACATATACTTTACGCGCATTATCGTCGACCTGCTCCAGATGACGGTGGTGTTCCAGTACGCCTGGCTGGACGAGATGTTCCGCGAGATGGCCACCTACGTGTTCTTTGTGCTCACGGGCTACAAATTCAGGCCGGTGTCGCAGCATCCGTACTTCGAGGTGCCCGACGAGGACGACGACGAGGTGGAGGTGCTCACCGGATCGGGCCTGACGGAGTCGCTGCATCGCGTAAAGCCAGTGAATCGTAATCATCACCATGGCAGCGGTTCCGGCGGCATCACCATCATCGAGGGCAACGACGATGAGCGTGAGAATCTGATTGCGAAGCGCGAATCGAGTCACGAGTACGATTAGGCTTTACACCACACACACACACACACACACACATATTTCCGAATTAGTCCGTAGTCTGTAGCAATTCCCGGGGTCGGGATATATATGCGGAGCCATTCAGCTAGTACTTTAAACTTTACTTTTCCTTAATCACACCTTTGTTCTTAGAGGATCCTTACAAAAAAAAAGAAGACAAAACCGAAGGCAATGGCAGTGGAGGGTAAAATCTCAGTATGTGAACTTGGATACCAACACATTCCCCTCCTCCTCCTCGTTGTGCCCGTCCAGCCGCCAGCCAAGGAATACACTTGTAAATAAATGAAAATATAAAAAGCCCGCTGCTATAAACGATGCAAACCCCTCCCCCTCCTCCTTGTTTTAAGATATATAAATATAAATCAATACATTTATGTAATTACTTATAATTTTATGAATATAACAAAGCTTTAATATGTAAAATTAATGTTTATGTTAATTCTTAATGAAAAAGGGAAACATCAATCACTTGAAATCAACTTGGAATGGGAGATCTCAGAGCCAGACTACATGTACGGAGCCTTAAATTTTGGTATAAACTGAATCGTATAGATCATGTAGGTGCCCACCGAGCAGGCAATCTGCAAGAGGAAAATATACCATCAGAGATTCTTATCTGATCCTTATATATACTCACCCTGGTAAGCAGACTGCAGTCCATTATGGTGAGACCCAGGCAATCGATGCGCACTGGCTGGTGCAGCAGTTGCAGGGAAAAGTTCTGGATCTGCATGGGAAAGCCTAGTGAGTATGGCATAATAACCACCAAGTGTCCAGTTCGAACCTGCTGGGAGAGATCCGGAAAGCTGCAGCAGCCGGAATCGGTGACTATGCTATGCAGCTGGTGGGCAATCCTCGGCACAATCACCATGCAGCTCTGCGAGGCGTAGATGAAGGCGGGAATCTCCAGCAGAGCGGGCAGGATTAGGTAGTAATCTCAGAAAAACAAATCCAAAATCCAAGTTAATTATAGTTTACGCTTTGACAGATGACGGAGACCAACCTATATTGGCTATGCTGTTGTAGATGGTGTAGTACATAAAGTAGCAATCGACGGCAATGCGTATATTAATCGTAAGCATAACGGCCAGGATGGAGAAGTTGAAGGCGCCTTGGAAACACCGGAACATGTCGTACACATCGCTATAGATGCGCTGCTTCTGCAGCAGACTGCGTCGGAGGAAGGCCTCAAAGCCGGGAAAGCTACGGCCAGTTTCGCAGGCGAACTTCGAGTACTGCGCCAGCAAGACCATCTCCCGCTCCAAGTGGGCCAGTTGCTCCCGCAGCAGCTCCATGTGGAGCACAAACTGCACGTTCCTCATGTAGGTGAGGCAGACCAACGGCTCGTAGGTCATCCAGAACAGAGCCATGTGGTGGGTCAGCGGTTGGATCTGCCACAGGCCCAAGTGCAGCAGCAGTTCGAACATCATCATTCCATAGAGGCAGATCAGGTAGCGACGGTACTGCCGCAGTTCGCTCCTCAGACTAACCGCTCCCACTCGCTGGGTGAGTTTGGCGTGGAGCCACCAGAAGTTGGCCACGTGCCGTTGACTGGTCAGAGTGTCCACGTAAATGGCCACCACAGCCAACTCGGCGAAAACGTACTTTAAGGCATCGTTGGCGTAACCAAACATGTCGCCCCGGTAGAGGAAATCATCGTTGCTGGTGAGGCACCACAGCACAAGGGCACTCAGGGAGACCAGCAGGAACAGAGCCCAAGCCCGCAAACGCCTCCTCATCCGGCCTGGGCTCTTATCGCCTGGTAGCGCAATTCCATGAAAGCCCAGCAGCTGGTAAAGACGCAGATGAAACTGCAGGACCTGGCCCAGGTGGCCGCTCATCGTGTACTGCCAGCTGTGGACAGCTGAAGCTAGCTTGTCCTTATCCCTGGGTCAGATCTCCACCGGGCAGGCAACTTAATTCCATTAAACTAAGTGACTTCCTCGACCGATAATCGGTTTTAATAGCTTTGGTCAAGTGAAAACTGGGTTCAAAATAATTAAGAAAATTAAATAAATATATTAACATCTTTCTTTTAACCAGAAAATATAATTTCGTGCCGTGGCTTAACTTTTGGTTAATAAATCGGAGTTAGAAAATATATAAAATATAAAAAAAAACGTGAAAATTTCAAATAAAAAATAGAATACACCTGATTTTTCCTAGATACACCTACTTATGCACTTTTTTACGTCAAAATTGTTTACCATTTTTTGCAATTAGCGCTTTTGCAGCCGGATAATAATGTCAGCTAATTAATTACTTTTGTAAGTGAACCGGAATTTAATGTTTGAATCAAGAACATAACAAGACTGCATTCTCTAATTTGTCCATTTATATACTTACTTACTACTTATTAGCTTATGATTAGCTTGAATTACCAACTGAAGATCAAATAATTTAACGGCTAGCATTCAGTTTTTGAAAGTTAAACCATTAAATGGGAAATTTCAAGATCAGAAAAGTCGTAAAAGTCTATGTTTATACCCTTGAGGGGGTATTATGATTTTAGTCATATAGTACTATATACATTCTTGATCAGCATTCACAGGCACGTCTTTCTTTATATATTCTTCTTTATTTCACATATATTTTATTCAAGAGCATTTCTTTCAGTGTGCATCGCTTCACTGCTATTTATTTATACTATTCGGTCTTGGGACTGATTGGATCAACTTACAGAGCTAAAGTACAAAAAAAAAAAGAAATAAATAGATCTTAGATTAGGAGAGGTGGCGCACACCACCTACAGATAGGGCCCGTGGTACTGATACCCACTGGATCCGTAGCCCTGGACATGGCCCACATTGTAGCTATCCACTCCGCTGTAGGTATCCGCTGTCGCACTGCTGCCGAATCCCGTGGACTCTGGCCAGTCCACAAGAGATGGTCGGCGACGTCGCGTGGCGAGAGATGGCGGCGGCGGCGCTCCGTACGTGTCCAACGGCTGCTCCTCATCGCCATACGGATCGCTGCTAGGAACCTGGACGGAGGGGCGGAAGTCGCTGCTGCTGCTGCCACCCGCGGTTGCCGGTCTGGAATAGTCGTAACCAAACGAGGCGGCTTCCTCGGGCGCTTCCAGGGTATAGGCTGGAGCTCGGTTCGCCTTGGAGCTGCGGTGGGCGTGGCTATGGTTGGGCGGAATGTAGGCGTGACTGGGCGGCGAGTAGTGGTAGCCGTGATCTGGCTCCTGCTCGACAGGCTCCTCGACGGGCGCCGGTTCCGCATAGGCGCCGATTCCGTGAAGGGATCCATGGTGATGTGGCTTTGCCACTGGATAGTGATAGCCCACATCCTCGTCCTCCTCGTCGGTGTGGTGGTGATGATGCTGCTGCTGCTGCTGGTGCTGCTTGGGACGCGACTCAATCACCCGATAGGTCTCCACACTGTGCTCCGGATGATCCTCGTAGTCGTAGCCGTGCGGCCTGTGCTGCTCCTCAATGATGGTATACGTATTCACCTTCTTCTTGGGCGGCGCCGGGGCCGGAGGCGGTGCCTTCTTGGCATATGTCTCGGTGAGATGGTCCGCCAGTTCTTTGGCGTGGTTCAAATAATCCGCATGCTCGCTCATGTGCAGCGGCTTGTCCAGGTCCGAGAGGATAACGCTCTCCAGCAGGGGACTGGGCTTGGGTCGGGGCCTGGGGCGCGTCCGCAGTAGCTGATGGGGATGCGGATGGTGGTGGTAATGGTGGATTACCTTGTGAGAGCCCAGGTCCGGCTCCACCGCCGCCTCCTCCTTGGGCACGTGCACCTTGATGTGGACATACTCGTTGCCAAAACCCAGCACAGATGCCAGCTGAACCAGAAGTAGCAGTGGCAGCAGCAGCATCAGCTGGGGTCGTCCGGGTTTATTCCATGCCATGTCGCCGCGTCGAGTGCTCATCACCTTGTGGCTTATGGCCGCCGCCTTGCCGAAATCGGTTTAAGCCGAAGTCTTTCTTTTGTCAAAATTTATATACAGCAGCCAATGTGCCGGCGACGACTAGCTCTTGACCTACGAGCCCGCGGGTGAAATGCGTAACACGACGATGCGTGGTCGATTGTTAAATACTCTTTCTTATAATAAAAACTATTTACAGAAGTGTTCCTACTAAAATTCCTTAAGCAATATTTATATATTTTTTATTTGCATCAATAGATTCTATGCTTTCAATTTTACGGAATCATTTAAAAAGTAAGCTAATAATTTTACCTGTATTATTTACCAAAGGATTAATGCTTCCATTGATTATGTTGATAAATTTATTAAGAATATATTTAATAATTAAAAACATTATACTATTAAAAAATGTATAAACTTATATATTTTTTTTTATATAATTTATAATGGAATCTTCCTAGACATAACTTATATTTATAAGAATTACTTTTTTTTTTTTACAGAGGCAAGGAAAAATGAGCATCTCTTTTGGAACATCCGCTTATCTTTTGGTTTTTGTTGTGCCCCTAAATTTTAGATATATAGATAGATACCGCTCTATAGAGATGTCTGCCCCCCATTCTATTTACAAGAAGTATAACACACTCATTTTTAGATAAGGGAAATACAATTGATGGGGAAAATGGTTAAATATCATGAGAAAACTATGGGATATATGGCTCTCCATATTTATATTTTACAAATTATGAATATAATATTTTATTATTATTACTTTATTTTAAAACAAATAATAATATTTAAAACTTTACATATAAATTGCATACCAACAAATCACTGTAATAGATAGATACTATATATATATATATCGCAATAATCGTTTTATTTTCGATAACTGCATTCCTCTGTAACGCATCTAACGGTATCCGATAGTCCAAATGCTCCACACACACACACAGCGCAGAAGAAGCAACTGTAAAATGCCATTTCTTGTAATCACCGTTCGATAGCGCTCAGGCAGCATCTCTCCTTCACTCTCACTCTCTTCTGGCCAAAGTTGCTAGCGGTTGTTTTCGGGCCCTGACCAGCGTTTTATTTGTTTTAACTTTTGTTTTCATTATTATTGAAATGCGTCGCATATATTTTTCTAGCCGCCAGCCAAACAACAACAATGAAAAGCAAAAGCACAGACTAACGAAAGTTAATGCAGATTCAATAATGAAAGCTACGAAGCGATCACTCCTCCTCTCTCTCTCTCGCTCTCTGTCCGATTGCAGTCCGGGGAAATTATCGCTACGCATCCATTAATGATGTGTATTCTCACTTATATAATATCGGCAAATATATTAACTATGTATTTTTTGCAGCACTAACATCAGCTCGTTCTGTGTTATTTTGCCACGAAATTAATAAAATTAAAATTAAAAAAAAAGCATTTAATTGTGATGCTAATGGGCCAAGAGGCGCTGAGAAAGTTGTGGCATCATCATCATCATCATCATCATCATCATCATAGTGGGGACTTGGAAAGCTCTCCGAAAATACAAAAGACGGGCGGCCACAAAGGTAATTAAATTATCAATTGAATATATTTCGAGAATATAATTTATTCGCATTGGATTGTCTGGAAATTCTGAAAAATCCATCAGCCCGAAAACTGATCTCAAATCTCATAAATAATGATGAATCAAACGTTTCACACGCTTTTCATTTGGCGTGGAAATTTACCAGAAAAAAAAGGGTTAACTCACCGGGCTTAACCCGCCAAATCCAACCCAGTTAAATGGCAATAAAATCGAAGAAAAGAAAACGGTTAAACAATCCACAAAAACGTGTTTATATCGACACGCAAACAAAGGCGAAAAATAAAAAAAAATAAAAAGATATACAAAATATTCATGGTCAGTTGGTCGGCGGCTAAGGGGAGGGGAGTATATTGGTTATTTCTAGCACTTATATTACGTATACGCAGGAGAAGAGGGTAAGAAAATAAAACAAAAGCATTAAGTCGCAAAGCCTATTAGACGGCGACTAATTGACTTAGCAGCCGAAAGCATTCTAATATCCAAATGTTTCAATACACAAGAGGCAAGAATTCGATAAGCCCATGCTATTATCCATGATCTTTCATCATTAAAAAGGGTTAGTCCCTTTCGAAAAATTTATAAAAACAGGTGGCATACCTGTCTATAAATAAATTCATTGTAATAGAAGAACAAACAGTTATCTATTAATATTAAAATTATATTTAGATTTGAATCCTTAAAATAAATTATTCCATAAAAATGAATATCCTCTTTACAATTTTGGTTTTGTGAGCTGTTCTAAGTTAAAGTTCGTAAAGCTGTTCTAAGTTAGTTTTTCTAAGGCTAGCTAAAAACTGCATACTGAATTAAGTTTCCCATAATTTTAAAATAAATTTTAAGAAAATTAAAAATATAAAAAAAATCAACAACTAAACCAAAAATAGATTAAATTCAATTTGGAAAGCGTTTTTGTCATAGTTTTTATACAGTTAATAAATCTGCATACCAAGTTCAAGATTTTACATTTTTTGTTAATTTTTTTCACAATTTTAACAATGTAAAATTTTAAAAAGAGATTGAAAATTAATTTATTCTTGCAGACATGACTAGATTGAGTCGGCTGTTGATGCTAATCAAGAGTATATATGACTCCTTCAGTGTTTTGCAAGTGTTTTCTAAATAAAAATATTAAGAAAATTACAAATAAACCAGATTTTCCAAGTATCTCAGAAGTACAATCAGCAAGTCGACTTAATCCAACTAAATTTTGCATAAAAAACATAAAAACAGTTCAGCATAGACGTCTCTCCGAACGTCAAATCATAATTAAATATGTTTTTCAACTCGATTCGCTGGCACTAGCGATTCTGACGTGTTCCCCAGGTATTCTTGGTTGTTAATGGGTTAAAAAAATATACGCTGTAATCGATATAGCCGCCTCTGCTGCTGCTGCTGCTGCGGTACTGCCGCTGCTGTCTCGGCTAACGTCGACAGCGGCAGCAGCAGCAAGCGCCGCCGTCGCTGCCGTCAAAACAAAACAAATCAGTTTGAATTCTGCCTTCAAGCGCTCTAGAACAAATCAGCTGGTCTTTTAAAAATACATATTTGTTTTTGTTTAAACCCTATCGTATCATCAGCCGCGACTCTGTCTTCTTAGTACTTTTTTTTTTATTTATTTTCTTGTTTTTTTTTGCAACGATTGTAAGAGAGCTTTTCGTAGCTTTCCCCTGCGATAAGAAAGTATCGGTACTCGCACACAGCTCGTAGATTTCATTTTAAAAAGTAGCTTTACTTAAAATAAAATCAGGACAATGTCCTCTGGAAAGATTCTGCCACGTCGCCAGGCAGTGCCCGTCCTGTACACGAGGGGCACCCACTACGAGGTGGGCTTCGACATGGTGAGTACCACCCACTCTCCCTATAAGCAGCGACCTTTCCTTCACCTGTTGAGAGTTGAGAGAGTTGGTCACGATACCTGAATTTCTAATGCTTTTCAAGGTAGTTCTGTGACTTTTATTGTTTCACATTTATTTTTAGAGGAACCTGGGGGGAAGTCTTGTTATAAAACCCATCATTATATAGTAAACTCTATGGACTGGCTTATTTTAACAAGCCAAGGTCAACTAATAAGGGTTCTAGAAATTGTTATCATGAAATAATAATTGGTTATAGCTTAAATCCTTCTAGAAATAAATCTAATAAAACCAAAGTAGAATTAAAATAGATTTTTAATTGTTTAATAATAGATATATCTATATATAAGGTGAGCAGTCCTGTCAAAAAGAGAGTTATTATATGAGGATGATAAAACATTAACTTGACAAGAAACCCATTTTAATTGGGGCATACCTATCTGGGGACACCTATCTTAGCCTACTTTCCAACTGATAACCCACAAAACTACACGCGAATCGCAATTTTTTATCTGGAAATTAGCTCCAGATGGGGTTTATCTTTATGGTTTTATACATGTGAATATGTGTACAAATATAGACCCCCTCGTTTGGTTTGACATGTCCCGGACCCAGACGCCGCTAAGTAATGCAGATTCGTGATTCTCGTGGCTTTGTCTAACTCTTTTTTTTTTTGTATTGTCAATGTCATGGAACAAGAGAATTGCATGCACTTGCAGAAAACCTAAGGTCTTGTGTGGAATTTAAAACAAATTTTTAGAAAAAAAAGAGATCAAGTTTTAGTATCTAAATGATGTTATTTTATAGCTGGAATTCTCCAAAGGTTTTTAAGGAATTTATTACAAAATTTAAAAGCAATTTAATTCAAAGACAATAAGAAAACTTTAGACTTGAAGCTGTTCAAAAGTGTCGTAAATATAGAAGATCTATAAACCCAAACAACCATTGGAAACATGGATTTAAAGGAACATAGCTTAAAATAAAATAGTAAAAAATATATACTCTTAAATAGTAACTTAAAAATTATATATTTTTTAGCACTAACAAGTTTTTTTGTTAGTATAAAACCAGGATCGTTGCTCCCTGACTTGGCCACAGAAATGGTTTTCAACCTTTCTAATGAACCTTCAAAAAACCCCTTTATGTGGGGGAAAAAATGGAAATGTTTATTGTAATTGTGAAAATTATATTTAATAGGGTTTTTTTGTTTCGTTTGGTGGTGACTTATGGACTTGTATAGGGGGCGTTGTCCGCCAGATCCGTTCGTATCCGTATACGTATCCGTGTGACGGAGGACGGAGGCCCACCCAAGTCAGTCAAATGGTATTCGCCTTACAACAATCACGGTATTCAATATATTGGATAATTATTCATATTTTTTGTGCCTTAGTTGGTGGCTTTGTTTACACTGCGATCGGTCGTGATCGATTATGTTTCTGTTTCTGTCTTTGATTTCATTGTGTTGACTCTTTTTTATATATATATATATTTTTATCCATTAAACAAACACCTCGAGCGCAGATCGTGTGTCGGGGGATTGGAAAGCATTTAATCATTTAAATAAAATAAGTAAATGTTAATTGCTTAATTGGTGAATTGTTAATTGTATATTTGCAGGGTCGCACATTCGGCTCGATGATCAAGAATTTTCTGATCTTATCCAAGCCCCTCAACGAGACCTACTTACCTCTGTACCAGTCCCCAAAAGGCAGTAAGTAAAACGCTGAGAGATGAAGAGAGAGTTCTCAAGATGCTGATGATGATGATGATGATGATGATGATGATGATGATGATGATGACACTACACTGTGATTTTTCAGGGCAAATCTATAACGAGACCCTGGGATCGGTGAAGGACAGCTTTCCGCAATATATTCGGGAACTGGAGGGCGTGGCCGATGGTGCGGAGGTGGAATTCCATAAGGTGAGTCGTCTAATTAGCGTGCAACTGTAAACACTTTGGCTAATAACTAAGTAGCTCGAACGGGGCATAATTAAACGGCCATTAAAATAAATATACAATATATATATTGGCCCCTTGTTGACTTAAATATTGTAATTTAACGCTAATAATCGCCCAGCAAGGTCCGTCGTGGGAGTGGGTATATGTTATACGGTATAGCAGCAACCCCCCCAAAAGCCCGAGTTGCAACTTGCTGCCGCCGCGTGTTGCGTGTCAGCAGTTGCCAGTTGTTCAGTCCAATACCAATGACAACATTAAATGCAATTTGCGAGTGCACTGCACCATGTACAGTGGTAATTGCCAGCGATGACCCAGCTTTAGATAGTGCAAACAACAACATAATAGCCAAACTAAACTTTAGATTGATTTTGATAAGATTAGATTCATTTGTAAATATAGTAATGTGTAGTTGCATTTAAAGGGCCCTCACTGTATTATGTAATACAGTCGAACGGGATCGATTCAGTGTGATCTAATCGCAGGGCATTGCAATTAGATGGGTCACTTAATTTATTTATAATTAATTCATCCTAATTGCAATTGCACAACCAAATGTATGCGCAAAATACTGGTAATTGGGTAATTGGTGACCCGGAGTTCCCCTTAGCCGGTGCCCACTGTGCTGCTGACCGTGCAGAGCACAGCAGACATTGAACTAGTTCCGTTTTTGCCGGCGTCGCGTCGCTGCCCCCTCTGCCGGCGTCTCTCGAATGAAATGATAGACAGCCAGTCGGTTTTGGCCAGGTGATTGTCTTTCCATACCCTTGCTTAAGGGGGGGTACTATTGCTATGACAACGGCTAGAATATATACCATTTACTGTAACAGCTTTGAACCTGAGATCTTAGGAGTCTTGGATAGGCTCTATACTTCAACTTCTTTTCTATACTAATTTACCAAAAATTCTATACCTTTGATGGAAGCCTACTTAAAAGGGTATCTAAAGGTCTAAATGCCAGAATTCAGTCAGAAGAATCTTTATAACTCACAAAGCCAATTTGTCATTGTCAAACACACAAATGTATTCATGCAAATATAGTGCTGTCAATGGCCAACAAATGAGGGAAGCCGGCAAAAGACAGAGGTGACAAACCCTTGCTTGGCTTCTTCGCAATTCTAGATTCCTGAAATTCGAAATTCGAATATCGATTCCATTGGGAATCGGCTTAAGTATGCTGCGCATGAAGCCATCAATTAGACGGGCTTCTCATTAGCATGGCTAAGTAGCTCGGGCTTGGAGAGGGAGATGGAATCGCGCTGACTACACCTGCCACCTGATAATGTGTTATAATTTCTGCGCTCTCTCGGCCCCGCCGCCAATTAATTGCACGCAAAAATCGCACCGACCTTGGCCGCATCTGAATCCACCACCGTCCACCACTGCCGAACTGTGGATCTGGGTATCTGGGTATCTGGCTATATGAGTATTCATGAGTGCGGTGCGTCGCCATCGCATCGCCTGCGTCTTGGTTGGATTAATCATTAATGTGCTTCAGGTGGCACCCATCGGTGGGTATTTATAATTCAAATTAGCCGCATTATGAGTGCATTAATTCAGCCGGATTTATGGGTCATCTTAATATCACACTTTAGTTACAATTTAGCGATAAATAGGTTATTCTAATTAACTACTCTGCAGCTGTTTTAAATCATAAAAATAATCAGCATTTACTAGATGCAATGCTTAAGCAAAGTAATTAATTAGTTAACCCTAGCAAGGTATACAATTAGCATAAATAATAAGGTTTTTGGTTAGATTTTTGTTTAGTGTTTGAGTGGAAACAAATGTAAATTTATACTTTTGTTTTTGGAAAAAGCAACAACAACAATTGTACAACAAAATACATTTTCCAAATATATATTTTCTGTTTTTAGTAGCAGCCTATCATGTCTGGGCGCCACCTTGAGGCATTTTGCAGAAACTGGGCAACAAGTTAGCTAAGTTTCCACATAAAACCGACAGGTGGCTTTTGATGTCAGTTTGCTTTTAAGTTTGCACGAAAATAAATTCTCTGGCTTTATGGTTTTTAACGATTTATTTGTTTTGTTTTAAAATATTTGTTATTAAGAAAATTATATATATTTATTTATAGTTATTCCTATTGCATCTGGATGAAATTCTGCCGCAAGCCTTGAAGCACCAACCGCGTAGCAAGAACCAACCAACCGGCTGCTCCACGATCATTGTCAACCACAAAAATTGCGTGAGTTAAATAAAATTAAACAAATCTACTCTGATTAATAATATTCTAATTTTTTTATGTTTGTTTTTTTAATCGTCAGCGCCTGCTGGGCCACACCGAAGATGCCCTGACAGAGACTCTTAACCATTACTACTTTGTGGATGCCCACATTATCAGCGACAAGCCGCAGGGCAAGTACAACGTGAAGGAGGAGCACTTTATGTCCCTGTGCTATGCCGGACATTTGCCTGGCTACACCATGAACCAGAACCACCATGGACTGGTCTTCAGCATCAACACCATCAGTGCGGAGCTCTTGCGTAGCGGAAAGACCCGTGAGTTTGATCTTTTTGACCTTTTTTTAACTACTCCTTGAACTTCTGGTCAAAAAAATCACTTTTCAATTAGGGAAAACTTTCTATAGCTTAACTCCGTTTGGTTTTTGATCTCGAACAGCTCGTCACTTTATCACCAGAGCCCTCTTGGCCACCAGCAATGTGGACGATGCCTTCAGGGTGCTCAAGGATGCCGGCGTGGGAGCTGCAGATGCCTGCTCCATCAACTTTACCTTCCTGGCGTGCGTTACATGGAAATTGAATTGATAAAATATAATAATTTAATGTAACCCACAGAGATCCCCGGCAGATGTGCTACAATGTAGAGATGGCTCCCTCGCCGGAGCGCAAAAACGAATCGCATTTGAGCATCAAGGAGATACCCCTTGGCGAGCATAATTACCACGTCAACCAGTAAGTAAATGCATTCTCTCTTCGCAATTAATAATTAATATGTACATATTTCTATAGATTCGATCGCATCCGCCAGGACCAGGCCAACGATCTGATGATCGACTCTAGCGTCTCCCGGATGACCACCTTTGGCTGCTATAAGCCGCCGGCAAGCGAGCAGGATGTCCGCCACATGCTGGGCGACGTGTCCGGCGGCACCTATTGCGTCTGGCGAGAGGATGGCAGCCCCGATGAGGCGGTGAAGACCATAGCCGTGGGCATCTTTGATCTCAGTGCCAGGACCATGTCCCTGTACTCGGACAATCCCAGCGAGACGCAGCCCCACTGCCGTCTGCCGTTGCTCTTCAAGTAGGATTGCCGCATTTACTCTGCTGCAGTGATTTTAAAACGAAATGAATTTGAAAAGGATATATACATATAAATTGTATAAATTTTAAATGGAACTCCAGAGTGAACATCTGAATTTATTAGCACCTTGAGAGCTTTAACTATTTCAATTGTTTACTTGGTCTCTGGTTTCTAGTTAATCTTATGTGCAGTATTTAAAAGGAAATAGTTTTTAACAATTTCAAATTTTATTTTATTATAATTAAGCATTATTTTAAACTGTATTTTCCGTGCTTTTCACGGTTGTCAGATCATTCCAAAGTGTTTCCAAACCCTGCCAGGTATAAATAAATACAAAATTCACTTTCCCAAGTGTACTTATGTTATTTTTTGGCTTGGAGTGCGGTTTCCCGTTTAATTTGTTTATAACGTTCAACTAAACCTTTCAATTTGTACTTTATTTTAATGAATATATTTTTGTATGCAACTCAAATGTCTTTTATTTGGAATCCTTGGCAACCTAGTTGGGTAATTCGAAATCAAAGACTAAAAATAAATAGAAAACGAAAACAAAATTTGGTCCTTTTTAATAGTTCCTCCTACATTTCATATATACTGCATGTATTAAATATGCTCTCATGATTTTCCTTCTCACTGGCTGCTGTCATTCCCTTCCTGTTTGCCGCTCTGGGGGAGATGGGTTCTGGTCACGGGTTTTCGGTGGTGGTGGTGGTGGTGTTGATGACGCCCTGTCTTGGCCTGGAATCGGAAATTTATATAGACTATTGATAGAGGCCCCCGAGGTCCATCCAGCTGCAATCAGAGCTTCTTCAGCTTGCTGGGGACAATTAGGGGATTGTCTCGACGAATCTCGCTGGCGCCCAGCTCACGGTAGTCGAAGCTGCACTCGTGACGGTCGCTGTACCGATGGACGGCGCAATAGACGCCGCCGCAGCGGCAGGGGAATCCCCCGGTCAGGCCCAACTTCTTTTTGCACTTGGCACAGCGATTATCATTCGTTGGCGCTGGTGCTGCCTCCTCCGGCTGAGGTGCATCGGCGCCACCAATCGCCCTATAAATTGAGCTACGTTGGGCCAGCAGCTCCTCCTCCTCCTCCTGCAGCTGCTCCACTTCCATCTCATCCTTCTTCTCATCACCGTCCACCTTGTTGATGTCCTGCAGGGCAGAGGCCTGGGACTGGCCACTCAGACTGAATTGACTGGGGCACGAGGAACTGGACGTTGAAGTCTTGGCGCCATCGCTGCTCTTCGGGGTAGCTTCGAGCGAGTCCTCCTCCGACTGGGCCAGGTCGCTTACCTTTCGATTTCTCATTCTATCTTCCTTTCCGAATCTTTCATCAAAACCCTCCGTGTGGTTTGTTTTATTTTCGAATTTAGCAGCAACGACCTACTAGGATCATGTTTTTCAGGCTCAGCTAAGATTGTACTAAGCCTTTTTGTTATATTTGCCATTTACCCCAATGGTCTTCACGTTTTAGGGTTTTGATTTCAAGAAAAAAAGGAACAGAAAGTGGGTTAGTTTCCTATGTGGGATAGACCAACCTTAAAACCTACTTATTTCTACGTTTTTTTTTAACAATAACTATTTGAAATTGGTTTAATTATAGGTCGTATATATGTATCTAGATGCCTGCTCTTGACTCTTTTTCATTTTCTGACAGATGGCGGCCATCAGGGGAATGCCAAACTTCATTCACCTCAATGCCAATTACCCCCGGGGCATGGACATTTTCAAAGCCCCCAAACGTATATGTGTATTTCTGTTCGGTTTTTGGGAATTTCGCATTTGATTTTAATACACTTAAACGCAATCAATTTTATTGCTCTCGTTGCGGTCGCCTGTCGAATCGAATTCAATTTGATTTGCTTTTGAACATCCGAGAGATGCCTTCTTCTGGGGGATGCGGATGCGGACCTGGTTCGCCTTTGGTTTGGTCATGGATTCTGCCATTTGCGCCATTGGCACGGTTCCTCCTCCACTCCAATCCCCCATCATCACCTGGGAAATCCGATTGGAGGGAAAACTTGTTTACAAGTCGAATGCGAGCGAGGAATGCCACAAAATGCTAATGCCTGCTGCGGCTGCTGATGCTGCTGCTGCTGCTGCTGCTTGCTGCTGCTTATTGCTGCCATATGCACACCAAGCACGGATGATCCAGATAACATCTAGCATTTATCGATTGCTTCGCAACTCATCTGCTAACATAAAACAGATGACGAAAGATTGCCAATCTGGTCTGGGAAAAATAATATCCAAAAAGGATCAGAAGGCCAAGAAACACAACGTTTACACTTAAATTAGAATTGAACTCATTTGTTATTTAGTTTTGATAATTAATAAGAAAGAGATAAGGTGTCTGGAATATTTTTAAGTTAAATGTAACATTTTTCAGGTGATTTTTCAAGTTATTGTAGATTTTTATTTAAAAAAAAGTGAGTTTTGGATCGGTTTCTTAATGTCTAAATAAAAGGCATAACTTTAAGTTAAAATTACCATTAAAATAATATTAAAAATAAACATTGAATTGGTCACAGTCAGAGGATACTTTACATATATCTACACCACACTATATCTCTTATATCAGCACTATAACTATCACATCCCTATCTTTATATTTCATTACATAAAACCCAATTATATTCAAATCGAGTGCGTTATGAGAGGTAGACAAAGCATGCCCCCATGTAACGAAGCTTATAATAATAAGTACATATTACCCTATTTCTGGTATCTTAAATCTCAAATTCTAGTAAGTATTTCCATGGATGAGCGGAATGGACGAGGCAACGGAGCCGGAGGAGGTTCATTCAACGCCAAATTTGCCACCATTCTCTGTCGCACGTTGTTGTCGTTGTTTTGGCCATGCCAAAAGTCGCACAAAAATTTTAATTGCTAGATTTTTTTGTTGTCGTCGTCTCGTCGCATTGCATTTTAGCCTACCTTAAAATTATAAGTAAAATTAACAATTTTTAATTGACTCTGAAAATTAAAGAAGGAAAAACATACAAAACAAAAACGAGCAAAAAAAAGGAAGTCAACTTTGGGAAGACGAAGTTTGTATACCCTTGCAGTTAGCCTCCAAAATTGAAAAACAATCCTTAACTAAGCCAGAAAAGCATTCAATTCAATTCGGCAAGCTGTTCTGAGTTAGTTTTTATAGTTTTTATGAATTTGCATATTAAATTTAACATTCATAATTTTATAAAATTTTTGGCATACTCAAAACTTAAAAAATCTATAACTAAGCCAAAAATTCATTAAATTCAATTCGAAAAGCGGTTTTAACTTTGTTTTTTATACAGGTAATAAATCTGCATACTAATTTTAATTGGCTTCTTCACTTTATTGCCAACTTCTTAACAAAATCAATATACCCTGCAAGGGTATAAAAATGCAAAACTGAAACCAAAATAGAGGCATAGGCAAGATAGAGCCAGCCGCGACAAGGAAAATGGCATACATTTGGCTTTCAGCAAAATTTTCATAGATTTTATTTTTGTGCAGCATGAGGTCTAGGATATAACTGAGGCATGATGAACTATAAAAGCAAGCAGGAATATTTTTTTTAAGAGTGGATTTTTTAAGTTGGTAATTATATTCAGGAAATTTCTCTAAGAAACCTGTAAAATATAGGCTTAAATTAATGGATTGTGTTTTTTCGGGTTAGCTTAAAACATACAAGAGGTTATTTCAGAGGTATATATATATATATATATATATATATATATATATATATTATTTTTTTTTGTTTATTTATAAACCTTATTTATATATGTTTATAAATTTATTGGTATATGCACACATCAAGGGTAACATATGGGCGACTGCAATCGGGGTTAATTTGTTTTTCTTTTTTTTTTTGTATTAAATTGCAAAAAATATTATATTAGTATTGCGTTGTTGTTTGCTTTTTACTTATTCTTTAGTTGAAAATTCAGCAAATAAATTTTTGCAAAATTTTGATGCGGCACCAATGGGTTTTCATCTCGATTAACTTGTAATTAGTTCTCACTTCACTCGTCACCTGGTCATTCCCACGCATTTTCACATTTCCACGTTTCTACTTCTCCATTTTTTTATTTTTACATTTTGGCGGCGGAAGTGCAGGTGAGAGCCCAAAAATAATTAATTATAGACTAAGACTAGACATAAAGAAATTTAAATGATGGTAGTAATTGCTTGCTAATTGCCCATTTAATTTAAACATTTTTCGATTCACTTTTTTGGCTTAACAAAAACTTCTATAAACAGGTTTTTATATTTTCTATATTTTAGAGAAATTTAAAAATGGATAAATAATAAATTAAGATATTCACTATAATATTCATTAAAAGGAAACATTTAACATAATTTTTTTGAGTTTGGAAATTACTTTTTTTGGTGGCTAGTGTTTTTAATTTTTTATTTTTTTGCTGGTTTTTTTTTTTCGAATCAAATCGGATGGGATCAGAGCGACTGGGATGGATCTGGTGGTGGCAAATTTGTGACGTCGATTTGGCCAGTGGTGGCGCCAAATTCTTTATTGCCAGCGGAGCATGGCAAAAACGCGTCAAAGCGCCAAAAAAAAAAAAAAAACTACAAATTGTGCTGAATGTTGTTGCTGTTTTTTCGCGGATTTGGCTTTTGGCAAATGCATATTTTGCAAGCCATTTGCATACATCGAATTCTATTATTTGACAAATATTTTAGTTGGTTTTTTCTTGCGCTGCTTGATTTGCTTGGCATTATTTTTCATTTCATTAAATTAAAGTTTTTGCTGCTGCTGTCGGAAGGCGTAGAAAATATGTACATATGTTGAAAAAGTGGTGCACGTGAGGGCCTCTTCGTCATCGCTGGGTGACAAAGAGGGTGGTGGTGGCGGCAGTGGCCAATTTGCAATTTCTCGAATTCATTAGGTCGCTTTTCTGGTTTTTTGTTGTTTTTGTTTCATATTTTGTTTTTCACACCTTTTTTCCTGGGCTGCGCCATTTCCCCGCTTCACGATCGCCATGTATGAATAAGAAAGGACAAAGGACGTTCTTAGCCCTTAAATCCTTTAATCAATTAACTAACCAATCTAAGGGGTAACTAGGATAGGCCAAAATTACCAGAAATATTTTCAAAATCTAGCTTCATAATCAAAAGTTTAAAAAACCCTATTTTAATAAGCAAACAAACTGCAAATTGAATCCTAAAGTTCATCAATCCTTTATGAAAATCACCAATTATGTTCCACAAAATGTCTTTTATATTTAGGCATTGTGTTTCTTGATAAGTTCGGGTTCGTTGGGACACCTAAAAGTCACTCGAATGCCATTGGGCAGCCAGCCTCGGCTCCAGATATCCACATCGCACACCTTGGTAGCGCCAGTCCTATCGATCAGTTCCACGGAGTAGGAGTCATTTGTGCCGGCTACCACTTGCGTTGAGGCAGAAAGAATCCTTGAAATACTGAAAACAGGGAATAAACATAAATTAGGAAAATCTTTCCAAGCAAAACAAATTCTAAAATGTAAATCAAAAGCTTATATTTTATTTTAAAAATAAAAGCTAAGCTCTCACCGATAGTAGGGTCCTTCGCCAGCAGCCAATTTGTCCAGGGAAGCCTGCAAAGTCTTTTGGGACTCGACCAATTCCTGACCCTCGAGTTGTTTTGGGCCACCAAGTACACCGAATCCTTGGGGCGTAGCACTGGCCAGGGCACAGACGGTGCAAAGGAGCAGGATCTTGGCGAAAAACATTCCGAATAAGTTGGCTGTGGCTTCTGTTTTGGCAAAACAAATAACACTGATGGATCGATCGTGGCATCCCGGACTTTTATAGGGGCAACCTCATCGCAATTAGTGGCGAAAGTGATAAGACCAATTGTATTGTTTACTGTCCCTGATCTGTTTACCTCGCTTATCACCTTGATAAGGTTTTTCGGTTCATTAGAGTAACTATAAAATATCTTTCAAAAATGAGCAGCAAATAAATTAATGGGAAAAGTAATAATCTCCACTGTGCCTTGGCTCGGAATTACATACTGGGATCATTGCTTGGGGTCATTACTTCCGTGGTGGACCATCGGCTAAGTACTTGTTATTAATCAATGGCAAAACATCTTTGACGACGGGAGGCTTAAGACGCCGCCGGCGGCAGCAATGGGTTATCTCCTCCTACCCGTTCATCTTCCAACTTTCACCTTACCCGACACCTCCCGCCTCCTCCTCCTCCTCATTAATCCTCTCCGGCGCGTCGTCGGAGATCGTCCATCATTCCGCTGATGGCTGAGGGGTGGCATTCTTGGCGAAACTCCAGAGCGCTGTCAAAAGTGCACAAATCCATGCTGATTCGTATACAAATGTGCACGCCGAACATTCGTTTCGTATGTACGGATATCTGTACATCCGCCAGCCGACAAGTCATCCATCCCTCCGTCCACCTGTCTGGGAATCCATCCATCCGCCCAGTCCGTCCATTCAACCGTTGAAAAACAGAAAAGTAATATTTAATGACCAAACTCGAGTTACACTTCTGGTTTAAATTTAATTTTAATTTTAACTTTATTTTACTTTGCTTAAAATGTACACTAAATAACACTAAAAAGTTTTGTAAAATTCAAAAAGTTGTTTTGGAATAATTACAACATTTTTCTAAAGTCTAAAATATGTTGTAATACCTTTGCCAGGTATTATTTAAGTAAATTATTTCATAAAAGTTATTTTAAAAAATTTAATTAATTAAAATAAATTAATTTTCTACTTTTCATAGAAATATATATTTTTAATTTAAATTCATTGTTGTAATATTTAAGCCTAAACAAGAGTAAATACCTTGGTTTTCCTTTAACCCATTGCTCTTGCAATTTTCTTTCAGTGTTTAAATTTGTTGTCAAATTATACTCTAGCTATTTCACATGCATTTGTAATGAGTCAGTGCTAATAACTCAATAAATAACCCAAAAGAGAGACCAAGAACCTGACATAATTCATGGGGACGTCTTGAAATATTTAGCACATTTCGGATGCAATTTTTTTCAGTGTCAAATCAGACACCCAATTGTTTGGTGTCAACAATGACACCAGGATGTCTACGGCTCTCTCTCCCTGCCCGCCCTCTCTCTCTCTCTCTCTCTCTCTATCTGTTTCAGCGATCCCACCCCAATCCAACCCAATCCGATTCAACCCCCTCTGGGTGGTGGGGATCGACGCTCGATCAATTTCGGGCATGGCCACCATCGTCATCGGGGATCTTCGTGCTGTGCTTGCGCTCTGCTTTCGGCAACCGTCGACAGCTTTTCGAATTTTCAGCTTTTCGCGGACCGAATCGCTGGCCGCCCCCTTCGACTTTTCACATAAAAATCATGTAAGGCTGGAAAACGGCGACAGTTTACTCACGGCAGTCGCGAAACAAACGCTGCAGGCGAACCAATCCGCTCTAAGACCACATAAAATATTCAAAAAATACAAAAACAGTCAGTTAGAAATCCGCAGAAATCGATTGAGTTTGTTTACAGATTTACAGAGTTCAAGGATCGATTCAGAGATTAACTTACAACCCATTCGAAAATCGTTGATACGGTTTAAAGATTTGTGAGAGTAGAGTAGATCAAAAATATTTGTAAAATCCAAGCCAAGCTCCCTGATTGTTGAGGAAACTCTGCTCTTCGATCCGATCAGTGGTCATCCGTCATCGATACCTGTTAGCTGTGTGATCGATCGCTGTTCCAAGTCAAGGATAATTTTTTGTTTGAGTGACTATTTATACTGAGTGTTAGACCGATATGATTTGCCCGAAACGCACCTCGGAGCTGCTGGACCTCCACCTGGCCCCGTTCAAGGACAAGGATCCGGCCTGGGAGATCGGCGTCTCAAGGATCGCCGGACGCGGCGTTATGGCCACGCGCAGCCTGAAGCGCGGCGAGATCATCTTCCGGGACAGTCCTCTGCTGATTGGTCTGGCTGCCAACGAGGAGGATGCCTTGAATAGCTGCAGCGTGTGCCTGGTTGTCCTGCCGGACACCAAGTTCATGTGCCGCCAGGGATGCGGCCTGCCCGTGTGCAGTCTCTGCTCCAAGAAGAAGCAGCACAAGGTCGACTGCGATATGTTCAAGTCGTGGGGCCCCAATGAGCCTGATGTGGCCAACTCGGTGATCATCCGGCTGCTGTGCGTCGCCCGGGCCATCAATCTGACCAAGGAGCAGCGCGACCTCATCTACTGCCTGCAGGCCAATCTGGACAACAACCACCGCACGGAGGTGCGGAATGCGGCCAAGTGCTTCAAGCGCTTCCCCACCGACAAGAAGATCGTCGAGATTATGAACCGCACCGTGGCTGTCCTGCGGACGAATGGATTCGACAAGACCTACGACAGGAGCAACGACAACCAGGAGTTCAACTATCGGGCCCTCTATCCGCTCTTCGGAGTCGTGAACCACGACTGCATTCCCAACGCCTACTACACCTTCGAGGAGAAGACCAACAACATGATCGTCCGCGCCGCCGTTGACATCCCGGAGGGATTCGAGATCACCACCACCTACACCAAGCTCTTCACCGGCAACATTGCTCGCCATCTCTTCCTAAAAATGAAGAAGGGCTTCACCTGCAAGTGCTCGCGCTGCTCCGATCCAACGGTGAGTGGGGGATATATATAAATCTTAATGAGGTAGCACAGCTATGGTCAAAATAATAGGGCTAAAAAGAATTTAATTAATACCAAAATTTTAACTATTACAAAGAATATTTCTTAATTTATTCAAAGGCTTTGAAGTTTTTCTTCAGACCATATAATACCGGGCTCTAAACATTGTCATTTCTTAATTTTTAGATATCATAGCTTGTTTCCCTTTAATATTATTGATAAAATATCATTTAAATTTAAGTATTGAGTGTTTATTATAATATTAAGCAGAAAGTAGAATATAAATATAGATTTAGTTATAAATTATTTTAAAAACAAAAATGAATCTAGACTGTCCTTTTGGAATACTCTTCATATTATTTTCATCAATCTTTGAAGCTTGAGAAACTCGATTTCATTCAAGGGAATAAACTAACTTCACAGTAAAATAATAATAAAAAGATACAAACATTTTCTGATCGACAGAAGTTGATCTTTTCGGTTGATCAATTTATAAATTAAATTTGCACATCTTCAAAACCCAACTTGATATTCGAATAGTTTCCTTTTTTGTTTATTGTTCATTTGTATTTTTAATTGAATGATAACAGTATGCCCTCCTGGTGATCAAAGACCCATTACTTTGTATCATTTGGCCTCTTAATTTGCGCATTTTCTTGGCCCAAAAGGCATGGCTGCCCCAAGTGATGATCGATGGGGCAGCTGAATAAACTATTGGAACCACCACTTGACCAGGAAAATAATAATCAAAGATATTTTTCCCAGCCAAAGATTCAGATTCAGGTGTAGAAGTGATGCCATTACATTTTTTGGATCAAGATCCATCAAAGCAGACAACTTCCTAAGCTTTCAACAAAAAAAAAAAAAAGAGCTATATTCTGGGTTGCTTTCATTAAGGATTTCCTGCGCCCATCAAAATTCAGCCAAAAACAATTATAAACTGGCGGCCAGAACGATCTTCCCAGCCCCCCTTTTATTAATTACAAATTGTGGCTATTGTTGTTCTTGGCAGTCGATTGATTTCCTCTCCTCTGGCTTTTCCGATTTCCAGGCGCAACAAGTGGCAAACAAGACGAAAGAATAATAACAACAATAATAAACATTAATAACAGCCAAAAACAGAGCTATAAACAATTTTGTTTATTTTTAACAGACCGAAAACAATTCAATTAAATCACAAATAAATAGATGATTTCTCGAAAGCTTTTTAATCTTTGGACAATATATATTTGAAAGACGTATAAAAATTCCAGATCCCAAAACTCTTGTATACCAAATAATGTCTTCTTGTCCTCTCGGGGCAGTTCGATTTTGATTTCCTACGATAGCGATCGTGATCGCGATCTAGATCTAGATCTAGATATATGCCCATTTAGCTCGGTGTCTCTCGGTCTCATTTATATTTTTTATTCGATTCGCCAGCTTTGTTGTTCTTTTTGTTCTTTATATATCATAGAGAAACATATTTTCTTGGCCATGGCCACATATAGCGCCTCGGATCGTAATTTCCCATTTGACATTCGCCGAGAATGCGAGGAGGCGCTATGCAGAGGCCAAGAAATCATGCGAACTATTAAGCAGAAATCCCTCGGAATTGTCTTGAATAATCCAAGAAGAAAAACCTCTATAAATGGTAGCCTGTTTTAGCAGGGGTAGCCTCTATATAAATTTAATTATCTTTAGTTGTTTATTAAACTATTGATTTGATTTCATTTGATCATATAATTTGCCTCACAAATGAGCCAAGGAATAGTTCTAAAATAAAAAAACTAATTAAATTATAAAACTTAATGAATTCTGATTATAAAAATCATCTTTGTCATCAAAACTTTAAATTTGAATCTGGGTAATACATTTTTTATGTATTATTTATTACTTATCAATTGCAATAAATTCATTTTTTATTTTTTCTAAAACTCACAACTGTGACTATTAATTATTTCTTTTACAAGATATATCATATATTCCCTATATATTATATTTTACCTGTCAAAAATAGTATTAAAAATAGCTATTTTCTGCTATAAAGTGGAATACGCTTTGCTAAGCTATTCTTTGAATTAAAATATATTAAAATTATAAGAACTAACCGGACTTTTTTAACTAATTATACAAATTTTTACCTTTAACATTTCACACTATAAATTGAGATATTAACAAATCAAAAATATATATCAAGTTCTTCATTTTGCATTCTGTTAATACGAAAAATAACTTATTTATATGTTTAAAGATATGTTTTTTATGATCCTACGTTTGTAGTAGATCATTAAAAAAATATACAGGAATTTCTTGTGTGGGTGAGAATATTTTAAAATATATATATATATATTTTTTGGATTCAGTTTGTTTTCTAATTAAAAAAAAAGACAACTCCAATCGCCAATTTGTTAAATGTCAAATAAATGGTATGGAAATTGTGCCCTTGACTTCGACACGTGGCAGGGGTGACTATGTGTGGGTGGGCGATGGGTCAATAAATAAAATTATAGTTTCCACCAAGTACATAGTTCAGTGAACTCCCCGCCAGCCAAGGGGGATTTTACGACTGGGCAGAGCTTCCTCCGCTCAAGTTTTCTCAGATTTCCATCATCCGTTTCGACTTTCGGCAAATCTGCGGATCGGAACCATTAATTATCTGGCGAAATTTACGAGCGAGCAAATAGCCGGACGATTCCGATTGAGAATTTTATGGAGATGACGTGGCCGGGACACATCCTTAGCAACCTGAGTGTGGATATTTATCGATCGCACGAGCGAATATTAAAAAACACGCACACGATGCGCGACATATTCATTATTTATGTGTAAATCGCAGAACATCTATACGGGAATATCATCAAACATATTCGCATGGCAGCGAGATATACACTGCGGCGATCATCACTACTTGTTCGATCCGTTTTCGGATTATTTTTAGCTGGAATCGGAATCCCAACAATGCCACCGCGATTTTCATTAGCCGAGACACTGGCCCCAATGATTCACGCACCGAAAATCTCAAGTGCTCTCCTCATGCCTCAGATCTTGGGATCAGCAAGTGATCGATGGCATTGCAAGTGCCTCATAATTATGCCGATTATCGATGGGTTTGGCCATGTGTATGTAGGTTTTTGCCGCATTGTTAGTACATAATTTGATTACTCTTATTTTTTCAATTAAATCAATTCAAAAAATTTAAATCGAAATAAATCATAATTTAAAAAAATCAAATAATCGATTTTAGAATCGATTTTATTTCCAGCTCTACTAATCAATAATAACTTGAATATTCATAACAATCACTCTGAATATCCTTTTTAGAACAAGTAATTACAGATTCGATAAGCTGATCACTTTATATATCCCTAATAATCGAACTTTACATAGACCTTTAAGAAATAGATACCAATTTCATTAAATTTTATCGATAAGTTATTGAATACTCATAAAAAACACACTGAATATCCTTTTGAAAACGCGTAATATTGATAGCACTTTATATATCCTTAAGCACTTTACATAGAGAAAGGTTAAAGATACCTATTTCTTACCACTTTCATCGTAATTATGTCTAGAGACTTACTTTTTTGTTTTTATTTAAATAATCATATAATTGCGGGCTATATATAATTTTATAAACCATGATTTTCCATGATTTTCGTTGTGAAAGTCTGGGCCAAAAGCGATCCTTAGGAGGACACAGAGGACGCGGAACTCTTACGCAGGCGACGTTGTCGCTTGGGAGACGAGCTGGAGTCATCACTCTCGCTGCTGCTGCTGCTACCGCTGCTGCTGGTGGTTTTGCGCTGTATAGGAACTAGAAACCAGAATACTCGTTAGTCTTCCTTTAAGACTCCAAACCATTACGAATGCCTTACTCTTTGGGCTCTTTGGAGCAGCGCCTTCTAACTCTTCATCGCCATCTTCCGGCAACTCGTCACTGGAGATATTCTCGTGCATGCGATACTGCTTGGGCAGGTGGCTCTCATCCTGCAGCGGTGCCGCAAACTTGGGTCGCCTGGCCTTCTCCTCCTGCTGCTGGCGTTCGCCATCGTTTTCCAGCTCGTTGCCCGTCTGCTTCTTGATGCTCTTGGCAATGACACGCTTCTGATGATCCAGCTGGGGGAACAGGTCCCTGGAGTTCTCCAGCGCCTGCTTGGCAGCGTTCATCTCCGCCTGCTGGATGGAGGAGCCGCTGGAGGTGGCCAGTCGCTTGGATCGAAAGTAGACGGCCACCTTGTAGACGCGAGTGTTGGTCGGTCCGCTGGCCTCGACCACCTTGTAGTAGGGTATGTCCGGCTCCCCGCCGTCCATGGTGCGCAGGGTGAGGCAGCACTGCTGCAGCTTGGACTTGGGATCGTTCCAGTCCTGGTTCATGATGAACAGCTGCAGGCGCGGGAACAGGCACACGTGACAGAACTGCTCGCAGTAGAGCAGCCCCTTGTCCACGTACAGGGCGCCCAGAAAGGCCTCCAGCAGATCGGCGCGATCCTTGGTCTTGAGATCGGCCTTGGGATTGGCATAGACAGCATACTTGGGCATGCCGAGATCGTCGCAGACCACCGCCTGGGTGCGGTTATTGACCAGCGAGGAGCGCAGCAGGGACAAGTGGCCCTCATGATGCTCGGGAAAGTGGCGATAGAGGTACTCCGAGCAGATGAGCTGCAGCACGGTGTCGCCCAGGAACTCGAGACGCTGATTGGAGCCCAAGGTCAGGTGGGTGAACCCAATGGAGCGATCGGTGAAGGCACGCGCCAAGAGCCGAATGTGCTTGAACTTGATGCCAATGGAGTCCTCGAACTTGGTCAGCTCCTGGAGCACCCGATAGTTACCAATGCAGCCGCGATCGCCCAGCGGCTCCTGCTCCTGCAGCGGATGCTCCGGCAGATTCTTCCAGATGCCCAGCAGCTTGTCGTCCTGCCGGAACAAAGCATCCGTAAAGACCTCGTCCGCCACCTTGATGCCGCCGTCCAGGAGCAGGGCTCCCATCAAAGCCTCAAAGCAGTTGGCCATGGCATGGCGCAGCTCCAGCTCGTGGCACAGATCCGATCCATGGGCGTACAGCATGAACTCCTCCAGCTGCAGCTTCTTGGCCAGCAGGGCCAAGTGCTGGTTCTGGACAATGGCCGCCCGATAGGTGGCCAAGCCGCCCTCCTCCAGCTCCGGGAACATGAAGAACAGATGGATCGAGCTGAGGAACTCCACCACAGCATCGCCCAGGAACTCGAGCCGCTCGTTGTGCGTGATATTGGAGACCGTTTCGTGATCCTTGCCAAAGCGGGACATGATGCTCACCAAGGTATTGATGCCTCGCTTCCGGGTGTTCATGTAGTGAATCTTCCTGTCCCCATATTCCGGCTGCCGGATGCCACAGTTCGTGAGCGAGTTGCGGGCATGATCCGGATTCGTGCCGTAGTTCTCCTTGTACGACGGATGCGTCAGGGCCAGCTGAAGGAGGTAACGATTCTTGAACCTGTAGCCGATGCTCTGCTCCAGCAGGTCCAGCGACTTGTGGAACCGCAGGTGGCCAGTCAGCACAGGCACCAGCATGGCATGCTGCACCACATCGCACATGATGCCCGTGCGATAGAATCCCTCCGAGCTGATGGCCACCGTGATATTCCGCTTCATTCGCCCCTGCGTGCGCATCTCCTGCAGGCGCTGCTCCTTCTCCTCCAGCTTGCGCTTGTCCTTGAACGAGGGCTTCGACATGTTGGCCATCAAATGGCGGAACTTGACGTACTCCCGCCACGCCTTCTGGTACTCCGGATTGCCCGCATAGCTCAGCTGCGGAGGACGGATCCCGAAATGGACAATTGCCGGATGCGATATGCCCGTCTCCCGGTCCACGCACTCGGGCAGATCCGAGTTGTTCCTGTCCAGCTGGTCCACCCGGAGCGAGCAGGGCTTGTGGCCCGGCTTGGTGACCAGCATGCCCTTGATAAAGTCCACATAGCTCTGCCACTCGCTCTGGCTGATCTGGTTCAGGTGCAGCAGCTGCTGGCGCTCCACCAGCTGGGCGGAGTTGTCCAGCAGATAGCGGAGCACCTCGCACATGGCCAGCACCTCCTTGCCGTTGTCGGGGAGTTCGCGCACGAAGCGCGGCAGAAAGTGAAAGGCTGGGCAGGATTCGGTGGCGGCATTGGGCATGAGATTGAAGTCGACCAGCTCGAGCAGCTCGTGGAAGAGGTACTTGACTGGAAGAGAAGAAAACAGAAAATTTAAAGCTACTCTTGGAAATATGCCTGCGTCACACTTACAGAACAAATCCAGCTCGTGGATGGTAAAGTTCTCCGGCATCTTCTCCTCCTCGTACTCGATGGTGTACTCGATGTTGAAGCGGATCACCTTGCAGACGGGCAGATCCGTGAGCTGCACGTGCGAGAGCAGGGAGAAGCCCTCGAAGAGGAACTCGTGCTCGTCGTGCTTGATGATGGTCGGTGTCTTGGTCAGGAAGTTCGTTGGCGGCGAGATGCTGATCCTGTAGTGAAACAGCTTGCCGGCATTGTTGCTGTTCCGATCGCACACCTTGTACCCCGTCTCGCCCGGATAGATGCCATGTCGTATACCAATCCGCCGGGATTTAGCCGAGCACCGGCACAGTGGGCCGTCGTTCATCTCGCCGGCATCGTTGTGCCAGAGATCGGCGTGCACGCGCTGCGGATGCTGCACCTTGCGCGACAGCTCCTCCATGCAGCAGTCCTGCTCGATCTTAAAGGCATCCTCGTCGGAGTCCTCATCGGAGGAGGAGGAGGAGGAGCAGGCCTCCGACTTGTGCTTATGCTTGCAGACCCGCCGGCGTGGCTTCCTCGGTGGCGGCACGTAGACGGGCAGGGTCTGGCGCACCCGATCCGCCCGCTGCAGCAACTCCTCGTCAAAGAGGTCACACAGTTTCTGGAGGCGTACGCGACCCTTCACCTCATGCTCGCCCTGGAAGCGCTCGTAGTAGGGTTCCGCCGGCGAAGATCGAACCCATGACTCCGCTGGGGCCTCCGTTTCCCGCAGGCTGTTCATTTTCTTCACATAGTCCTCGGATTTCTCACAGAAATTGGCGCACCACTTGCGCAAAAGCCGATCCCTCTCGGTCTCCACCTTTGGCTTGGGTCGCGGCTTCTCCACCACCGGCTCCCTCCTCTCCCTGTCCCGCTCGCGATAGCTGCTGCGCGATGTGTACGTCTCACTGGTGGTGCTCCTGGCCGACGATCCGTAGTAGCCATGCTGGGATCCCATCGGTGCTCGATGCGCGTAGTGGCCGTGACCGTGTGCCTGCAGGGGCTCGGAGGGTTGACGGGACCCGTGACCATAGCGGGGCTCGTATCGCCTTCCGTAGTTGTAGCCCGAATAGTGGTTATAACCCTGCTGGGAGCCATAAGAACCGTAGGAACCGTAGGAACCGTACCTAATTCTCTCGCCCGGCGGCCGGTGCTCCGGATAGTGCTCCGGATACTTGTAGCCTTCGTACGGATACGTTCCCGACACCGATCCCGGGTACTGGTAAGAGCTCTCCTGACCGTAGTACTTGTCTGGGGGTGCCGCTGGATAGGAATACCCATCGTAGCCGTATGCCGCCTGCTGGCCATAGGCATCGTAGCTGGAGCTGGAGCTGGGTGCCTCCGGATAGGTGTAGTGGGAGGTGTTTGGTGGCTGAACCGGAGGCTCATGCCTGTGGGTCGGCGGAGCAGCTGTTATACCGGGCGGACAAAGGGCTTCTTCCGTTTCCGGTGGCGGCGGCGGCGGCGGAGGTGGTGGCGGCACCGACGTGGGCGGCAATGGCGGTTGGTACATGGTTCGTTATTTTTTTAAACACGGAAATCTTTCACAATCCGCAACAGCACATTTTCCATTCTGTTTATTTTAGAGCTGGAGGAAACACAGGTAAACCGGCTGTTCATTTAGCTAGCTAGAGATGGAAAAGGGTCGATGGAAACATCGATACATCGATGATTTTATAATAACGGTTTTTTGAAACATTTTCAAATTAAGTTAAATGATTACGGAATAAAGTGACTTTATAAGTTGAAAAGCTATTTTGCATACAAATTTGCATTAAAATGGCCATTAAAAAAAAATTTTGTTATTTAAGAATATTTAATTCATTTTTTAAATCATTTTAAATATTTATAATTATTAATTTAATTTATTATTTTTCTTTTTTACAGGAGAAAGGCGCCTTTATCTCTGGCTTGTACTGCCGGGACACGAACTGCACCGGCCTGGTGGTGCCGGAGATTACCGGCCTCCCGCATCCCAACTACAATTGCCTGGAGTGCAAGCAAAAGTCAACGCACGCGCAGATGATGAAGTCACAGGACTTCGCCTCCGGGGCCATCAACGCCAAGGCCAACTCGAACTCCTTGCGGACGCTGGTGCAGTATCTGAACGAGAAGAGTGACGCCTTCATCCCGAGCAGTAACTACGTGGTGATCGAGGCCAAGTTTGGGGTGCTGCAGCGCCTGCAGCAGGGTCGCGAGGACTGCTCCGAGGAGCTGGCGGCGAACACTCGCCTGCGCTACAGCCGTGACATCACTCAGGTGATGGACAAGCTGGGACTGGGTGACAGCCTGCTGCGCACCCAACTGGTGCAGACACTGCAGCGCGAAGAGGAGCGCCGGGCCAAGCGGCTGGCGGAGGAGGCGGAGAAGCAGCGCAAAATGGCAGAGCTGCAGGCCAAGGCCGCCGAGGCGGACAAGATTCTGGCCGCCTTTGAGGCAGAGCAGGCGGCCGAAGCAGCTGCCGCGGCCGCATCCTTGCCAGCAGCGGATCCTGCTCCATTGCCGCAGGCAGCCACCGAGCTGGCCTAGGAATTTCAATTGCCGTATTGAGTCCTATATTTCAAGGCCCAATTAACCAGCTGAGTTGTCCAGTATCGTCATTGAGACTTGGCTTAAAAGTTAATTAAAAATATAATTGATCTTCTTTTTATGTTAGTTTTTACCTTAATTTGTTTGATAGTTTTTTCTTATTTGTTTTTTTTAATGAAACAACGAAAATGTATGCAACTTTTATGGATATGGAATATTAACTAAGACATGGCCAACACAGCTGGGGAATCAGGTCCTGACTACATATATGTGACTCAGACAGGCGCTGTCCCCTTACCCCCGTACAGTACACCTGGTCACCTAGTTCTGTGTTGTGTGTACTAAATTAAATAATTGTATCTGTATTTGTATTTATTTATTTATAATAAATTAAAAATTATACTCGACGAGTGTGCAAAAAGGCTGCCAAAGAGCTGTCTGCTCTATACGCTTTGGTGGGGGCTTTACGCGACGTTTTGTCAAAACGTTTTTTAATCCAACGGACTAGAGGTATATATTTGTGAAATTGTACAGCAAATGCCAGAGAAAAAAAAAAAAGAAAGGGGTTAATCCAGTTTAAAATTAAAATATATACATCTTTGGCATTGAATTCTTTATGAAAATTTGAAGAATGAGTGCAAAGTAAAGCATTTTAATGAGAGTATTAACAATATTTGAAAGATTTTATATAAAAATTCGAGTTAAATTTTTAAATAAAATTTCTCTAAATATTTTATATATTTTATTTTCAATTTAATTGTAATATTTATCATATTTTGTACACCGAAAGCGTGCCAACCAAACGACAGGAAGAAAAATAGCTTGAAATTTTATGTTTTAACCACCTAAAAATGTTGTTGCTTTTCTGGATAATCCAGAAATATATCTAAGAGTAATTTAGAAACAAAAAAATCAAGGATATGCGACCAGGAAATACACTAACCTTATGTGTTACGGCCAGAGAAAGCTTTGAACTGGCGAGTTGCAACTGTGGACACCACTGATTTAAAGTGTAGACTGAGCCAAATGATCACAACTATGCGGTATTTAAACACAAAGTTGTGCAACTAGCGAATTTTTAGTTTATTTTAATTTTAAAATTTTTATTTTTATTTTTATTTATATTTATATTATTTTTTAAACAGCTGCCCAACATACTTCTCTCCAAAATTTTCCTAGGGATATTTTTACAAGTAAAAAAAACTTTTAAGAAAAATAATTAGGGATAAAAGATAAAATACTAAAAAATTAAATAATTTATTATTTAATCAATCACAAAAGTAAAGTAAATAAGTAAAACCTAGACTTTAAACCCATTAAATTCCTTTCCAAATCAAGTTATACCCTCTAAACAAATAAAGAAATCATTCAGGAAATGATTTTTCAACTTTATGCGACTTATTCATAAATTTCGATGCGATTTAATTCGATTTGCTTGCCTGGCATTTGTTTTATTCGCCATTAAAAGTTGCAGTCGACTTTGGGCGACCGTTAAAGTTGGCGGCCGAATCTATTTTTGAACGTTGTCGTCTCCGCCGTGTGTACCACAGCCACCGCCTCCTCGTAACGCCTCCTTGTACCACCCCCTCGTGGCAGCAACAACAACAAGTAGAACAGTTTGGCAAGTCACACGGCCGTTTTACGATTTTAAATATATACACATATTCATAAATTTATATAGTATATATCGCCAGCTAGTTGTATCCGTTTGGTATGTCTAATGAGAAATTGTCATTTGCCGTTTTCAATATTTCGATTTGATACAGTTTTTGCCCCAGTAAACTTGCTCATTAAATCGAAAATCGTCTACATAAACATTAATTAAATAAATCTCACACGCTCTCAGTAGCAAAAGGCTCTTCCTGCTGCATACTATGAATATAGATTCGTGTACCGATCGGCTCCACCTGTCTCATCAATTTGTTCGAGAGTCTTTGCTGCTCACCGATGTCATCGTGTGATCTTAATAGATGGCTGTGCGAAAAGATATATACAGTAAGCCGATATATCTACATGCCCGCACATACATATATACTATATGGTAGTGTATCTGCATAATGACAATAACAATAACAATCCTGCTACAACCAGGAGACAGAAGAGCCAAACAAATTTGAAAACTCAGAAATCATAAATAAATTTATAATAAAAATGCCAATAAATTATGCTGTATGTATAAATGTATATATAGTATATGTATCTATCCGTCGATCCAGCTCTCTATTTAGCTATCTATCCACATCTATCTAGAATCTAGAATCTAGAATCTAGAAAATATATTTCTATCTGGCCTCTCCATCTATATCTGTCCAGTCTTGTCGTCAGATGAAAGGCTAGGGACCCGGCAAACTTGCGGAGCTTGTCGCATGTGGATGTTCTAATCACATATTGCTTTTAGCTCATGGCATATTCTGGGATCTGGAGGTGGGAGGTGGCAGGTGGGGCTGCACTCGGTTCAACTTTGATTAATTGCACGCATTTCCCCTTCGCATACACGACATTTGTTAGCCAACATACCCTCGTCAAGGGGTTACAACTAAGCATAAGCGAACCTGTATTACCTTAAATTGAATCTAAATTTAATACTTGTACTATTTAAGCATCACCAGAGGCATCGATCTAGCCAAGTTCAGCAACTATCTTCAAGCAAAATCCAAAGAATTCCATTTTTTTAAGGGTATACAAACTTCTGCTTGCCCCAAACTATTTCCATAATCATACACATGTTATAAATTAATAATATTTCTAGGATATAAAACTAGGACTAGACATGCCAAAGAGTCCACATTTTATTTAATAAGTCAACATATTTGCCTGAAAAATTGCTTTTTCTTCGATTTCTTTTAGGGTTTTTGACAATAAAAACAGCAACAAAATAACATATACTATGTATAATGACGCATATTGAACACAATTTAATAGGAAATAAGTGTATATAATTTTACAGATTTGTATATTGTACTTACTGCTCGGTATTAGCCAGGTCTTTTCGGCTTTCAACACTTTTGTTTTTTTTTTAGAGGGAACCAACCTTTATGAGGATGGATGGCACCGCCTTCGAGAAAATGACTGAACGATGTGACAATGGGCCCTGATGGGCCCTGTCTCTGGTAATCCGCCAGATCCAGTGGAAAGTGGAAGAGTAGAAAAGTGGAAAAAATCACAAAGTGGCTCAGCGGGTCTCCGACCAAATTTGTTGAGGTCTCGGCATGCGTATTTTGGCATGCATTTCGAATGTAATTTATGTGTGCCTGCCTGCCTGCCAGCCTGCATTGTATATTAATTAAGAGCTCTGATTTACTAGCAGGAGGATGCCTCCCCCATGCGCGTATAATTTATGCCGTTTTAATGGTTGCTCCATGGGGGGTTTGCACTCGTTATTGGCCCCCCTTTTCCGGGGCCAAAAACAAAAATTACAAAAGAATATTAAATAATCCAACTGCATTCACTTTTCTGGGATAATTTGACGCCAGTTCAAGTTTATTGCCAATGTCATGTGCCACTTGGCACTCACAATGTCTGCAAGTTAATGGCCAAAAAAAATAAGACAGCATCGTAAATTGTTATTACCAAATCGTAAATCGTTAGTTTTTCGTTTACGAAATGGGCCCAAAGCATGTGGGGGAAAGTGCAGACTAATTAAAGTCATGTCTAAAAACATATACAATATTTTTCAACGCAGTAAATAAGGTTATTTCGGATATTAAAAATATATATAAATAATATTGATCAGAATAACCTATAGCATATTTTTATATTAGTTGAGGTTATAAAGCTTTACAAATTAAAAAACAATTTTTTAAATATAGTAAAGGAGTTTTTGCCACGATTTTTACATCCTTGCAGGGTATTTAAGTGTCAGTCACAAGCTTGCAACTTTGTGAAGGAGTCATTTCCGACCCTATAAATCATATATATTCTTGATCAGCATCAACAGCCGAGTCGATCTAGCCATGTCTGGCGGAAAAAAAGAATTTATATATTTTTCCAAAAAAATATAAGGGGTTACATCGTTAAAATTGTGAAAAATTGACCAAAATTTAGACATTAAATTAAGTATGCAGATTTGTTAAGCTAATAAAAACTAACATTACGCCGATTTCCGAATTAAAATTAATGAGGGAGTTTGAGGGAGTTATAATTTTTTTAGATTTACATTTGTCCCAAAAAAATGTGTTCCCATTTTTTTCAAAAACAAATATAAGGGGTTACATCGTTAAAATTATTAAAAATTAAAACAAAGCCTTAACTTTAGTGTGCAGATTTATTGACCTTATTAAAACTAACATTTTGGCTTAGTTATGGATTTCTTAAGTTTTGATTTTTCCCCAAAAATTATATAAAAAAAGACACCATATTTTCTAAGTTTTGATAAGGGGTTACATTGTTAAAATTATCAAAAATTTAGAAAAATGTACAAAAATTGTAATATTAAAATTATGTATAAACTCTTTTAAAGCAAATAAAAACCTAATTCGAACAGATTTGCGAATTGAAATTAAGCAATTATTTTACAAATTAAATATATTATATTCAAAATAATGAAAATGATCAATGGACATTTCTTGATGCCAAAATGAAAAGCTATTTGCTTAAATTATTTTGCATTTTGTGTGCATACTTCTCGGCTTCTTTTTGCAATAAAAGCTAATTCATAAGAAGATATGTAGTTTATTAAAAAAAACTTCATATAAAAATCGAAAGTATCTTAGGTTCTTATTTTTCTTATATATTTAAAGAATGCGTTTTATAGGGTGAAAAACCTGTTTAAAGGTACTTTTTGGTACCTTTATAAGCTGTTTATTTTAATAGCATTCTTTTGGGATGCCATGAAAACTGGCTAGATGAGTCAAGGCTGCCTAGTTTTGGACTAGGCAAAACAGAAGTTCTTGGCAAAGTATTTCTTAATTAAGATTTGGTTATAGTTCGGTAAACTAAAATTCAGGTTACAAAATTAATGTTGCCTTAACAGATAGCAAAGCAGAACCGGTTGCCCGATGTAAAATCAAAGATCTGCAAGGCATATATACAGTAGTACCTCGAAAATAACCGATTTTTTTTTCTTATAAACTAAATAAAATTATTTTAAGCAAATTGATAATTTAAATTCAAATTCAAAAATAATAAACAAGCATATAAATATATATATAATAAAACAAAATTATATAATAAATAAAAAACATAAATAAAATAATCTAAGATCTAAATTTAATATAAAATGTACTTTAAAATATTAAATTATAATTATTATATTTTATAATATATATAAAATATAAATAAATAATCTAAGATCTGAGACTGATCTAAGATTGAGTCCCCTTAAAATATATAATTTCCTCTTGGCTTTATTTAAATCCTAAGTTTTTGTTATAATAATACACATCATATGTTGTAATTTATTGTTTAAATTGGCTCTCCGTCCGTGTTAAATGGTATTGCTTGTATTATGTAAAGTTTGCAGAGCGAAACTGAGAGAGCAGAGAAGCAGACTAAATAAACAAGAGGGGCGATCGTGTGGCATGCCTAGAAAAATATTATCTGCACCGATAAAAATCAGATAGTGGAAGTAGAAAAGATTTTAGGCAATATTTTAGTGATTACAATATAAATAATATATAATTAAATAAAGATATATCTAGCCTTTAAATGAATACATTTTTAAAAATATTTATAAATAAAATTACTTGTTATTTTCTGTGTACTAACATTGTAAACAACTAGATTAAAGATTTCTGCAAAATCAACAGGTTGTTGTTGTGTTGACATGGGCGTGCTTTTGAAGAAAATTCTAAGATACAGGGAAGTCTTCCTATTCTACAGAATATTAATATTATTTATTTATAGCTTATACTATTGATACTATTTTACTGATATAATTTGTTTTATTATAAGTATATTGCTACCCTATGCCAAAGACACAAAAAGATCTTCTTAAAAACAAGAAGTTACAGGTAGATGTTTCAAAAAGTTAACCCTA